GATTCAACAGTCTTGCACAATTCACAGTGCTTACCAGAGCACATACCCTCCCCAGTGTCTATCACCCAGTCACCACCTCCCTCCCACCCCACCCCCCACTCCAGCAGCGCTCAGTTTGTTTCCTGGGATTAAGGATTCCTCATATCAGTGAGGTCATATGATACATGTCTTTCTCTTTTTGACTTATTTCGCTCGGCATAATACCCTCCAGTTCCATCCATGTCGTTGCAAATGGCAAGATTTCATTCCTTTTGATTAGCCTCATTTATTTCTGCTTATAGTGATTTTTCATAGACTCTGTTTACATTGAGAATTTCAGTGTTTACCATTTTTGGTGTGCTTAACTTAGATCTTAAATTTGCCATTTTACTCTTTTTGCTTGGCTGAAGAATGTTATCTTCTGTAGAAAATAAAATTATAATAACTAAGTTATAAAAAGTGTTTTTATAAGGAAAGTGAAGCTGTAATCTCAAATCTGTGGAAGCAGTTAGGACAGTTTTAGTGTACACCTTTAGCAGGATTAAGTAGCTTATTTGGTAGAGTTAACTAATTTGTGACTCTGTAAAATGATAAAGAAAATGTTTGTTTCCTTAGTTTTAAGTTGTTTTGCTTAACAGTTAATAAAAATGAAAACGCCTATTTTTTTTAGGAAGACTTGAAGGTTCCTCTAAACTATCTATATGGTCTACATAGCTATAATTTGGATATGTCTTTTAAAAGCCTGAAGGAAAACCAAACATTTGTAATTGTCTCCTTTGCAAGGTGTGCACTCTAATTGCTATATTTAAATATATGAAAACTCCATATTGCTACATGAGCGTCTGTGACAAGTGACACTGTGATTGCCAGATAGGAAAAATTTCTAAATTTAAAATTCAATTTAGCAAATTGACATTTTCTATTCCCTTTTGTAATATTCTCTTACTCTGACAGATCACCGCTTTAAAAACAAAACACAAACCATGCATTTATTTGACTGTCAGGAAGAATTAAACATGAAAAGGATGAGATGCTGTGGCTATCACTCTTTATTAAAACCAGCTGCTGTGGTTTTAAAATGCAAACCAGATCAAAATCAGTACAAACCCTGGGGGTTTAATTTATATACTGAACGAACCAGCTTGTTTTGAAAGAGTACTTAAAAAAAAAAAAAAGGAAAAAAAAAAAACTTTAAAAGAAACTTACACATCCATCATTTGATTTTTCACTAGCTCTGTGAGTTAGAAAGACCCAAGAATTATCTCTAGTTTATTGATGAGAAAATTGAAACAGAGGCTTAATTGACTTGTGTAGCTAGTTAGTGCCAGAAATAGAATTATAGGCTTCTGTGAATGACTGTGTCTAGCCATGGGCTCTAGATCCAGAATGTTATTCCAGGCCCAAATTCTAGAATGTAACAATGATGTGCTCTGTTTGGGTCCTATAGGCGTATGAGAACCAACTGTGGGATATTTAGGGATTTTGTAAGCTTCTGTGAAAGTATTGATAGCTTGAGATGAGCCATAGTGGAAATATTTATACCATGGAAGTCACTACAAATCAGGATTTAATTTTTCCCCAGAGAACTGGTTTATCTGTATACTGATCATATTCAAGTATGATCAGATCACAAAAACAATGCAAACAGAATATAACAATGTAATATAAGTGTAATGTAATTTTGTAAATGTAGTAATTTTGTAAATTAATGTTATGTAATTGTGTAAATCAAGGGGAGAGGTCAATATTTCTTTGTTCCTTAATTTAGAAATTTGCTTCTAAGCTGTGAATAAATATGAGCAGGACTATTGGGAAAGCTTGAATTAAACTTGAGTGTTTTGAGGACCTTTCTAAATCCTTAACTCTTCTTTAAGAAATAGGTCAAGTCTCACCCCTTCCAAAAATTATGGCAGTCAGCCTGGCTTTTCCCTTTGAATCTCTAGTAGATTAAAAGTAGAGCCACATACATTGGGACTTATTTACTATGTGTTCCATATGAATTAATTTTGTATCATTAAGAATGCAATAAAGTCTTTCAAAAGCGGGACACGGACTTCCTTCTTTTTTTCTTTCTTTGAATAAATATTTAATTAACACCTATTCTATGCCTGGTACTGTTCTTTTTTTTTTTTTTTTTAAGAATTTACTTATTTATTTGAGACAGAGAGAATGAGAAAGAGAGAGCACATGAGAGGGGGGAGGGTCAGAGGCAGAAGC